ACTTTGAGGGCTTTGTGCTTGTGAAGCACTTTTAAAAATAAAAAGGAATTTGTGCTTGAAATTGAAGCACTTTGATAGAGGGCTTAGGGCTTAGTGCTTCAAGCCCTTTTACTGAGGGCTTTGCCCAGCTCTGGATACATTCAATCATGACCTCAAATCACTACTGTTGTGTTCCTCAGTGCAAGTTTTGGGCCAAAAAAGATGCTGAAAAAGGGTTGAGTTTCCACATATTTCCCCTTGAAACAGGCCTACGGGTTTATTTGGAAATGAAGATAGGAAAATAGTTAGAATGGATAAGAAAAGCCTGGAATTTGAAACTTCGTATTAGCAAACCAGTCATCAAATTCATGAAAGTGTATTTCTCTGCATTTCAAGCAAGAAGTTTGTGTTAAGGTAAACAAACATAATAGATATTTTTGTGTCCTAACTTCCTTTTACGACTGCTCCTAGGCATTGATTAAGAACCTATTATCTATTTTTGAAATGTTTTCTTTGAAAATATTGACTGTTTTTATTATTTACAGGTGGGAGTACAAGTAAAGGTCGGATATTGAAAAAAACAGCTGAACCATCCCAGAATTTGCCCTATTCTACAGTGATCCATTAACCCAGCCAAAAAACAGATTCCATGTGTGCTGAAAGTCCTGCCAAAAGAAAAAGAAATCAAGATTCTAGTGAGAGCGGTTCAAGTAATGAATGTAGTGATACTTGTATTCAATTATTAAACTCTTAAACAAGCAAACAGCAGAAAGTGTCAAGTTTTTATTAAATTCTAATTATGTACCAGTATTATAGGTAGGCAGGTTTGTGGTCAAGTTATTTGACTTTGTTAATTCAATATTTACCTATTTATAAATAAAAATAAAGAGTTATTTATGAAATATTTATTTATTTATTGCACATACAAGTTATTCAAATACAGACATTATAAGGGACATCTGCTTTGACCCTTTTGGCAATGTCCTATAGTGGAAAATTTTAAGAAAAAGCTCCGTTTAGGCTGTTGTATGGATATGACCATTTCGGGTCAGGTAGGCGCAATAGATTATTGAATTTTGGCCTGCATCAGGAGCCATAAAGCCCATAAACACAAGCCAAACATTCAAGCTAATGTAAATCATATGCAAATTAAGTTCAAAATAAAAGTGAGGTTATGAATCAATGTACTAGAAAGTAGTTGAGCTATTCGCCACCGCGGCGCTACAATCTTAATTTGAAATCCCAATAGGATATTTTCTCGCCTCCTATTCAACAAAATCATTCTTTCACGCACAATTGCCAGCATATCTTTTATTAATAAATTATTAATTAATCACTTTGAAAGAACTTTGAAGAATTTTAAATGTTCGGAAATTGACATTTACCTGAAAAAATGATTTTTCGATAGCTTGGAACTAGTCGAGAAACTTCAATAGAGTCGAGTCGATAATTCGAGTGTCGTGATGCATTTTAGGTCGACTATTGACATTTTCGATCAATTTCAATCGAGATCGAGTCTCGTGATCCGGGCCCTGAACGGTTAATTTTAGAGAAAAAACGATTTCAGTGGCGTAGATAGCTTTTCACCCTGGGAGGGTTCCAGGTCCAGCGGTAGAGGCAAATTCGCCAAAGGCAAATATTGGGACAGGACAGGTTAACAAAATGGCGGCAATTTGACCAACCGAGACTAATTCTAATTAAGTAAAGATACATTATCTTTTCCAAAATTCCTATTTTTCCCGAACTTTTGAATTTAAATTAAGTTCATATCCGTTATTTCGGAACGGCAAGAGTCAAAAAAATACATAAAATTAAAGTTTTTATTTTGATTAATCACAAT